TTGATATCTTTAATCAGTTCTAGAAAATTCTGAGCCACAATCTTCAAGTATGTTGTCTGTGTTTCTCCTTCTTTTGGGACTGCAGTATACCTGTGTTAGATTTCACTGTATCCTTTAAGTGTCTCAGCCTCTTTTCTGCATGATACCTCATTTTATCTTTCTGCGCTCCATTCTAGGTGATTACTAATGAAGCTTGCTCTTTCATTTCACTAATTCTCTCTTCAGCTGTGCCAAATTCATTTAAGTCTTCTATTATATTTTTTAGTTATAAAATTTCTATTCTTCTTCAAATTTCTTCTTCAAACTTAGTAAATCAACTTTTATAGTTTGCAGTTCCCTGCTGAAATTTTCAGTCTTGATTTTTGTATCCCTTTGAACATAGTAAGCTTTAGTTGTTTTATAAACACTGATAATTCTGAAATATCTTTTGAGGGTCTCTTTCATGTGTCTGTTTCTATTGATTCTTACTCATGGTATCTTATGTCTTTGGTTATTTTTGACTGTTTAGACACTGTACTAATATTTAAAAAATAATTTGGAGGAATATCTTGATGTGTAGGATGATGGCATCACTCTCCAGAGGAGATTTTTTGTTCAGTTCTGCCAGGTATCTAGGCATGCTAACAGTCTGGGACCACCTAGATGGCCAGATGATAAGACATTCTTTTTTAAGGCTTAGTTTGCCTAGGGCCATCTCCTCTCCCAACCCTGTGGGAATAGTTGTTCAGATCCCAGCTTAAAGCTAGGAGGTGGTTTGTCACTGCCCAACCTGAGGGCTCTGGGCTTTGACTACTGTTTCCCCGCCCTTTAAGACTGCCAAAACCCCTATTCAGCTTTGTGGCTTACTTCCCTAGGGTCAGGGACAGTGGCTTTGAGTGGCTTTGAGTGCCTAGGCTTATTTTCCTGAGTTCTCATTCTGATACTTTCTTAGCATCTTACAAGCTTTTCACTTTCAAGATTTTTTTGTTTAATGTTCTTCTTTAACTGTCTTAGCAGGAGAATTATTACCTACTCAGATATTAATGGAGCTTGAACCTGAGGATCTTTTCATTTACCTATAGGTCTGAAATTTTACAATGTTATATGTTCTAGATCCTACTAGAGTTTGTAGTAAATCTTTATTCCATTGTGCTGGGTACTAAGAAGGCCCCTTCAGTCTGAAAACTTATCCATCAGTTCTGAACATTTTTCCCTAGATTCTTTTCTTACTGGAAACACTTTTTGTTCTCTTTCTGGGAGATTTCCCCAACTTTGTCATTTACCGCTTCTACTGACATTTTAGTTAATTTATTTATTTAATTAAAAAAAATTGGTTTTTGGCTGTGCCACGTGGCATGTGGGATCTTAGTTCCCTGACCAGGGATTGAACCCTCAGTCCCTGTAGTGGAAGCGTGCAATCTTAACCACTGGACTGCCAAGGAAGTCCCTCGATTGACATTTTTATTGCTATCATTTTTAATTTCCAAGAGGAAATAAAGAGCTCTTGTTCTGTATGTTCTTTCAAAACAAAACAAGGGGCTTCCCTGGTGGTGCAGTGGTTAAGAATCTGCCCGCCAATGCAAGGGACACGGGTTCGAGCCCCTGCTGGGGAAGATCCCACATGCCGCAGAGCAACTAAGCCCGAGTGCCACAACTACTGAACCTGCGCTCAAGAGCCTGCAAGCCACAACTACTGAGCCCATGTGCCACAACTACTGAAGCCTATGTGCCTAGAGCCCATGCTCCACAACAAGAGAATCCACTGCAATGAGAAGCCTGTGCACTGCAACGAAGAGTAGCCCCTGCTCGCTGCAACTAGAGAAAGCCCGCGCACAGCAGTGACGACCCAACACAGCCAAAAAATAAATAAATAAAAATTTTTAAATGTCTTTTTCTTACTTCATAGGTGAGTGTCATCATTTCAGGACATTTTCTATCTGTTTTTGTATGTGTGTGTGTGTGGGGGGGTGGTTTTAAACCCCTGTATTGTATCTATTTCTTTTCTTCTTTTTTTTTTTCTGTTTGTTTTGGTCTCTCTTTCATGATGGAGACTTTGCTGAAATGTCTGGTGATTATTGGCTGCTTACTTCATAAATGTTTAACTGGGTGCTCCCTGGGCATTGGTGGAATTTGTTGGGTGGTATACTACCCTCTAGGGTGAACAGGCAGTGAGAGACCAGGCATGGCCCTGAATTCTCAGTACCTTTAGCTCTATTCTGTAGGTAAGAGCTCTCCATTTGCTCCTTAGAGATTGCAGAGGTCCTGGTTTAGAGATTAACATGTAGAACAAGGGTTGGCAGACTTTTTCTGTAAAGGCCAGAATGGTAAATGTTTCCGACTTTATGGGCAATGTGGTCTTTGTTGTAACTACTCAAGTCTGCTATTGTAGTGTGAAAACAGCCATAGAAAATATATAACAAATGACTATGGCTGTGTGTTAACTTTATTATTTTCAATGCAAACTTCTACTGTGTAAAAGTGACTTGATTTTATTATTCCCTTTTAACACTAATAAATTTGCCCATGATGTACTTCTTTGTTGCAGAAACTGTATTTCAGACAGAGTTAGCAAATAGGAAAACCTTGGAGCACTCCCTGACACATTTTACACCTCCCTAACACACTCTCATACTCTGATAGACAAAGGAAAGCTGCTTTAGCCCTGGAAGAAAAGGGAAAGGAAGGCCAGGAGAGAAAGCAGGAACAGTTAGAAGATTCAAAAGCCAGGGAACTGGACAAAAGTGCCCCCCAAATCACAGTAAGAGCATGTATGTATACAGGCTCTCAGTTGGCAGAGGCTTTAGAGATCACCCAGTGCAGCCTGGTCCCAGTCTGGCTGTGCTTGTGAACCCCCAGGGAGCATTCACCTTTGCTTTTATGAAGCTTTCACGAGGTGATCTGTGATGAGTAGTCAGTTTGGGGAACACTGGATTTTGTAAACAGTCCTGTCTTCCACCAGACTGTTAACAGATGGTAAACTGAGCCCAGAGATGCATTCTGCAGTAGTACTGACTAACTGGTGACCTTGGCCAGGTTTTATAATCTGCCTGAGGCTTGTTTTCAATATCTGTAAAATGGGGTAATGATGGTTCACATATCATGGAGTTGATATGTAGATTAAATGACATAATATGTATAAAATACTTAAATGGTGCCAGATGCCCAATAAATGGTAATTTTAGTAGTTAATAGAAGTAGAGCCCAAGGCTTTGCAGTGTATTGAATTGCTTCATCTGTTCTTCTGCAGAAACCTTATTTAGAATTAAATTATATTCTTTTTTCCCTGTGGTGATGAACTACAATAACAGGTGTTTATTTTCCTCTACTGTTGTGTTTACTGTATATAATTCACATGAGTTTGCTGCATTTTAAAATCTGATTTAAAAATAAATAAAATCTGATTGTTATATGATTTTGCCAGCTGATTATTACTATAGAAAAGTTTGGTTTACAGGCACAAAAATCCTCCTAAAAATCATGACTGCCTTGTTTTTGTTACTTGGTTCATACAACCGAGTCTTCTTTGTGCTCCAAATGCCATGACTTGAGTGGATAAGCATTTTCTCTTTGGAATTGTCTTGTCATTGAGTACTAGGCCAGGGATCAACACTTACGTCACAGCCACAACCAGCAGAGATTTAAATTTTAAATCTGTAATTAATTGCTGAGATTTTTCATAAGTTTCTGAACCAATAGAGGACCCTAAGTATAGCCTTAAAAGTAATTCACAAAGAACTGTTTGAAAGTATTATGGAAGGGATGTGCCTGATTCTTTTATTTTAGTAATTGAAACAATTTGAGCTGAGTATTAGCCTCAAGATTTTTTCCTTTTTAAATAAATATTTTTTTTCTAATAACATGACATATATTCATGGTTAAAACTTCCTCCAACGTGGAAGGATGTAAAATGAAACAGGACCTCTGCCGTCCCATTCTCATTCGACAAGGGAGCAGCAGTTTCTTGGGTATCCACTTAAAATGTCCTTCTGCTGACACTGCGACCGTCCTGTAGGATCTTAGGAATAATGAGAAAACTATCAACAAGTTGAATTCATGTTTAACTAGAATTCATTGAATGAATGAGCAGAAGAAAAAATAGCAATTGCCTGGATAGGAACTAGCCAGGCAAAAATGAAGATATTTTGGTTCTCCACAAGTAGTACACATAGCAAATTTTACTGTTCATAAAATAATCTAGAATGCAGAAGAAAGCAGTCAGAGTTCTTAAAAGTCAGAAGGGCTTGAGTTAGGACTTCCCTGGTGGCACAGTGGTTTAGAATCCACCTGCCAATGCGGGGGACACAGGTTTGATCCCTGGTCCCTGGAGATCCCACGTGCCACGGAGCAACTAAGCCCATGCGCCACAACTGCTGAGCCTGTGCTGTAGAGCCAGCGAGCCACAAATACTGAGCCCACGTGCCTAGAGCCCGTGCTCCACAACAAGAGAATCCACTGCAATGAGAAGCCTGTGCACCACAACAAAGAGTAGCCCCCGCTCGTCGCAACTAGAGAAAGCCCGCGTGAGCAATGAAGACCCAACGCAGCCAAAAATAAATAAATAAATTTATTTAAAAAAAAAAAAGGAATGCCTTGAGTCCCAGCATCCTTTCCAACCTTTTTACCATCTCATTCCATGTAATTATAGTGAGCTTGGTGATCTTTTTTCTAAATTTACAAAGCTGGGAAGTAACAAAGGAAATAGGGCTGAGTAGACCTGACACTGATAACTGCAATTTAAAAACGTATGCAAGGAAAAAAAATACAGAAAGGGGTGAGAGGATCAACATTCTGAAATGTGATTTTAAAAGCCATAGTCTGTCTGTCACCTTGTTTTGAAGGCAGGTTAAAAAAATATAAAAATCAGTGGTTCACTGTAGGGACCCTAAACAGGCATCAGTAAGTGTTTATTTTAAAATTTTTGCGTAGGTGAACCACCAGTTTATGGTAAGGCTTCATTGTATGTATAATGTCTTAATAATTTTCAAAATCCCAATCAAAATTATTTTATATTTGATTTTCAGTTCCACTTACTTATATGATAATTTCAAGAGATGTAATGTTGATTGCTGCTGTTTTTTATGTCAGATATCGAACTCTTCCAACACCGGTGAGTTTGTTTCAAAAAAATGTTCTTTTAGTATTACTTGTAACTTAAGGCAAAAGAAAAAAATCACTACTGCATACTGAGTTTCACTTTATGGGAATAATTTATGACAATTATGTATTCAATCCATTTACTAGGAATTTAAAACAGATATAACTCTCATCTTGCTATATGAATCACCCATTATGGTAGCTGTTCAGTGAACATATGAATAATCAGTTTTTTAAAAGGATGTTTTTGTTATAAGTCAACATTGTTTTAGTTGATAGTCCATAAAACTCAGGCCAGCTAGCCCCATCCCTAGTAGCAAACTCTGTTAGGAGTGTTTTGTATAACTAAGCACCCTTCCCTGTCTAATTTAGCTTCTACTATGGATTATCTAGAACTGGTTTTTAAAATCACAGTTTTATGAGCATGGAGTGGTTTGTTTGCACATTTGTTCATTGGTTCTACAAGTATTTGAGCACATAAACATAGCATAGCTTATAACCACTTCATGAACATAACAACCTCATCTTTTGATTCCCAGTCCAGTGAAAATGGCAGTATTTTATTCATTTTGGTTCTTTTTAGCCTATAAAGAAAATAGTGATGAGGGAGATTTGTTGAATCTATTTAGTAGAAAGACATAGTTAAGCAGACTTTATGATAGTTATTATGTTAGAAATTTATAGAAATTGAGAAATCTATAAATTAAAAAATCTATTTTCAATAAACTAGGTGATTTATGAAGAATGTAGATGTTGCTCATGTAGTATAATAAAAGAAGATAAAGGGTTTATCTAGCATATAGCCAGCCATGTGTTATACACTCAGTAACTGTTGCATATAATAACAAAATATTTATTTTAAACTTGAATGATGAATAAACTTTATTTTTTTTTTGTCCTCTGCCAGAGAACACTTTCTAAGTATTTCAATCCTTGTTATGCCACTGCTAGGTTAAAACCAACCTTCATCAGCAAGGTAAGAGACACACAGCATCCTTTTAAGTTAAAAACGGTTGAGGATTTTATTATGATGACTATAAACCTCAGTTTGGAGCCGCTGAAAATGAGACACATTTTAATGTATTGACCATAGAGAATAGAGAGTGGGGTCATTAGCCCAGTTCTTTTGTCCTCCAGGCTTTCTGGATCTTTAGTATATATGTTGTGTTTTGTGTTGGTGGTGTAAGAATTTAAGTCTCCAAATGAGGTATTAGGGCCACCACTTAGGGGAGGTGAAAATGTAATTGCATATTGACACAAAGAGAGTATGAAAATTTCTTTCTGGTTTCACTACCCACCCCTCCCTGTAGTGAAAACACCATATAACAAGGTCCTTTCATTTGCAAGATCGATTGTTAACATGGAAAGGGATAGGAGAAAGTTTTATTCACTAATAAACAACTCCTACTCTTAGTTGTCCTTCTGTTTTCCTGAGCCCTCTTCAGGATAATAACTGTATGCCAGTCTTTGCACACAGAGAGGACACTATTAATGCCTCTGAAGGCACATTTGTTTTACTAGTAGCCTTGGTAAGTTTGCTGTAATTATTCTTTTGCTCCATGCCTTGTGACAGAGGTTTAACAGGTTAGGGATGCCGATCATTTTTGGGACAGAGGGATGATTACTCTTAAACCAGAGACTCCCTGGGGTGAATTTTTACCTACAAATATGCATTATTTATTTATCTATCTATCTATTTATTTTACCTATTTATTTTTGTGACTTACATATGTATCAAGTACAGTAATTGGAGTATAGCACTGTACAGAAGGTGGCTTAAAGAGGTACCAGGGACAAATGCCTCAATTCCTTGGGCTTGCAGGGAGTTCTCCAGACAATTTTTATTACTTATTTTTAAAACGGAGTGGAATCCTTGTAATTTGGCTGCAGAATGGATGAGAGAACATAGGTGCTTCTCTAGACACATCACCCACGGATTCATACATCACCCGCTTCCCCAGAATGCTTCTTCAATGAGTACAGGAAGTCTCCAGTGGTTTTGTTGTCTTCCTTTTCTCCACCATGCTGTCTTTTAGGGTAGGGAAACCTACTCATTTCCGAACTTAGAGCCTCTCTCATGGAGATTAGTGCATTTCAGTTTTCTAACCTCATAGGTTTGACAGGTGGTAGGCAAGTGAAAGGAGCATTGAATGGAGTACTGGGAAATCTGGGTTCTGGGTTTGGATCTGTAACTTGCTATGACTGCAGGCAAGTCACTTAACTCATTACCTTTTTACCTGTGAAGAGTAGCTTCATTATTTCCATATTCACAGGGCTGTTTTAATAGGCAACTGAGAAAAAGGCAAAGAATTTTGCAACATTATTGCAACATTATTGCTATGGAAATTCAAGATAGTGGTGTTTTCTGATAGTTGCCCTTCCCCTCACTGTATAGGGCAGCTGTGGAGACAGATGGGCCTGTTAGTGAAGTTCAGCCTTTTGTGTGAATGCCAGCTTCTTTGGCAGGGATATTACAGCATCAAGCATGCTGAGGGTCTGTTGTGTTACACTGTGATGGGTTATGCCTTTCTCTTGTGAGCTTGAAACATGATTGGGTTGGCACTGTTCATTTATGACTTCTTATTTTTAGGTTAACACAGCAGTCCAGTTAATCTTGGTGGCAGCTTCTTTGGCAGCTCCGGTTTTCAATTATGCTGACAGCATTTATCTTCAGATCCTGTGGTAAGCTAAACTGAGAATGTCAACAAAATGGCTTATTTTGACAGTCCTAGAATTGCTTTGTTCTTAATCATGTTTATTAAGCACTGGGTAAAGCTGTGGGCTATATTTTTTGATTGACACCATTTTTAAGAAGCTTACTATCAGTGTAAGATATAGAAGTTATAGGGGGTTTCATGCAAGTTAGAAGGGATGAGAGGTACAGATAATGTGTTGGGGTTTTGGAGTAGAGAAAAATACTTCCAGGTAGGAAGAAGAGGGAAAGCTTCAGGGAAGAAGTAGCATTTGAGCCATGAGGTCTAGGTGGAGAGAGACTGAGGGGAGGCCATTCTGGTGAAGGGCAGACCCTGAGCAAAGTCAGATGTGCAGGAGAGTGGATAAGGGGAAAGTGCACCCAGCCTAGTGAAGGGGGCAGAGTGGGAGAGAAACTTGGAGAAAGGAGTTTGAGTTTTATTTTATTAAGGTTATGTATATAGCCTTGAAAATGTGTCACATTCATACTTGATGCCACACTGATACTAAAGCACTGTATTTTTACTCTACTTTTAACTCAATAATTAAAACATTGCTTGATGCAGTCTGAGCCAGAAAATAGTTGGTTAACTAAAGTCAGTTAAGCTAAAAAGCTTTAAAAATGATACACACGCTAGACATTTTATTTTCTAAAATATATAATCGTACATTCATTCTGATTTGTCCTACGTCTTCTGATAAAGACCCAATGCCTTTTCTTTGATTATAGGCTCATCAGTGGGATTTTTTTTTCTTGCAAAAAACTGCATCCATAATACAACCTCTCTGGTTTTCATGTTCTGCTTTTAAAGTGATATAAGAATGTAAGACATTTATGAAGCAATCAGAGTATAGAAACTTTCTAGATTTTTACCATTTTCTCTAGTATTTTAACAATTACATTGTCTACTTACTTTGACAGTAATTTTTAGCAACTCGCTATGATATCAGGCCTTTCCAAAGCCTCCAGCTTAGTTCTCAGAAATAGCGACTCTTCCTACCTGTATGTTTCATTATGTGTGAATTTAGGATATCAAACTGGCATAAACAGGTTTGAGATCAGAGTCTTGATGAGCCTACACCTCACCTGGTGGAAACAGAAGCACATGTGTGCACCAAAAAGAAACGTGTTAGCTGCGAGCACTCAGCAAGCCCTGAGTGTCACTCGTGTCATTTCAAAGAGAATCTGATTAATTCTCCTTAATTTTAAGGAAATATCAGTAAAGAAAGCTGAATTTTATTTAAAATGACTCAGATATTAGAATTCCCAAGATCTGTAAGAAATAGCTTCTAAAACTAACACTCTAAGCAGCGTGGAACAGTGGGAGGAGCACAAGGGCTCTAGAGTTGGAACCAAGCCAGACTCATAGTTCTGTGGCCCTGAGCAAGCTCTCTGGGGCACTGTTTCCTCTGTAAGATGAGGTTGCTGTGAAAATAAAACTACCTAGAATAATGTCTGGGTAAAAAATGACAATTGCTATTATTTTTTTTTTCAGACTGATTAACTAGATTAATTCTGTTTAACATTACTGATTCAAATGAAGTCTTAAAGAAAAGCAGTATATTTAAATTCTTAAAAAAAAAATTACACCAACACAGGCTTTTTTACTTTGAAACAACTCTTTTAAATGTATTCTTTATGGTTCTTATAGTTAGAATTTTTTAGAGTTTAGACTAAATTTTATTTATTTCCTTCCATAAAAGGTGTCTTACAGCTTTTACCACAGCTGCATCAGCTTACAGTTACTATCATTATGGTCGGAAAACTGTTCAGGTGATAAAAGGCAGATGAAAGTCATCCATCATCATTAGCAAGGAAGCAATATACATCATCGGCGGCAGGGCCAGTGGAAATCTAAGGGAGTTTCCTTTTTTGGTGTTTAGCTTGAAAAAGGACTTCTCAGAACAAACCATGTCATCAAAATTTAAGTAATGTGCATTGAAAATAAGCTTGATCATGGGCATATGCAGAATTTCCAATGTATTTTTAAATACAAATAAAACTATAATTTAGAATTTTTTTATCTTAGGTTTCTTGATTAATTTATAAGTAGCAATTATTCCAATTATTGTCAGTCATTTTTTGATATGTAAAACAAAAAACAGTCTAGAGCATGGAAACTGAAGAGTTGTCACTTTAATAGAATTTAGATTGCTCACAAAGCACTAGGGGATTTCCTGGGTTTAAATATACATCCTGTACAACTTGGCTGCACAGTTGTTTGTTTGACTTTTAGATCTGTGCACACATTAACAGTACATGTGGTTAATATTTGATTGCTTAGAATAATGACTATAAAGGTAGCTTAGTTGTGGATGAAGTAAACTTGTAAAGAGATTTAAAATGCAGTAAATTTTGAAAATAATAAATAAGATCAAAATAGAAGGTACTGAAGTTCATGTTCAGAAGTCTTCCAACCTCTCAGGTGCCTAATAGTTTATGCATCAGGATAATAAGTGACAAAGGTAGTTGGAAAATGAAAATATGTCTGTTACCCTAGCCATCCAAGAGGCAGTGAGTTACATCATGCCTTCCCACTGTATCTCTAACATAACAGTGTTTGTATGATATTGGGACCTGTACTCATATGTTATGTAAATAATATGAAATTATATTTTTCAAAGGTTTTTTAAAGCTTTGGGGAATCTTCTTTTGTTAAGATGTTAAAGGAATAAAAGAGCCGGAAAAAAGTGACCTTCAATTTGGGTTGTCTGTGTTCCACGGTCGTCTGCTGTTGTGGAAGTTTTCTGATTCATAAAGTCCATTCAGATATATCACTTGCACTTAACATTGTAAAAATAATTGGTTTGTGATCATCTGACTTAAAAGCCCTATTCTTGCTACACTGTCATGTTTAAGAGAATGCAAGATGCAGGGAGAGGGGAGAGGAAGACAAGTGGCTGGTGCCGGTTGCCTCCTCTTAAAACAGTGGAGGCCTGTTGCTGCTCATTATCCCGAGGTCTAACGTAAGTGTAACATGGACTCATACAGTGAGATTATCTAAACATAGCCTATTGAGCTGTGTTAAAATTAGAAATTATAAGCAAAGTTCATGCCTCTTGGTTGTGACATCCTTAGATCAGTGTGCCCCTTGTTGCCTGCTGGTCCTGGCTTCCTTGTTCCCAGATTAGCTGCTGAGCCATCCTTGGCTTGGAAAACACTGAAGCCTGCAGCCAGGGACACTGCTAAGGAATCCAGTGGAAGGGGGAGAGAAGGGTGGTGTGAGGCTGGCCATTCTCCACTTTGGGAACCTCCTGTAATGTCTCATAACGGCCTGGGGTGCAGTGAGGCTTGAGGTGGAAGTCCCATTGCTGGACCACCCAAGAGGCACATTGACCATGTCTCAGCACTAGCAAAGTATGAGCACACAAAAATGATGTTTAAAAAAGGGAGAACTTGAAATAAAGTAGGGGAAAAATTAGAATTTTGTGTCTTGTTATGCTTATTTATGGTCTAGTGTTGATACTATTTGGAGTGACTTATGGGTTGGGTCCCTAGTCTCTTTAGTATCAAAGTCTTAATCTGGTTCTGGTTAATAGACTTTTTCCACGTCAACCTGTATGTTTTTGGATACTGAATTGCTGTAAGACATAAATTCTGCTGGTCTATAAAACATTGAAATTGTATTAGGTATGTTTGAGTATATATTCATGCATACAGACTCCAAGCAAGACAGATTCATTTTGATGCCTCCCCATAACAGACTCAATCTTTTTTGTTTTTAAGGAATATTGTTTAAATTAATTAAGTCTGTTTTTGGTCTTCCTTGCGGTGCACAGGCCCTCTGGATGCGGCTCGCAGGCTTCTCTAGTTGCAGCACTCAGGCAACTAGAGCACACGGGCTCAGAAGTTGCGGCATGCGGGCTTAGTTGCTGACCAGGGATCGAACCTGGGCCCCCTGCATTGGGAGTGTGGAGTCTTAACCACTGGACCAGCAGGGAAGGTCCCTCAATCTTGATATTAAACTAAAAAAGGCATTGGGATAATTTAATTACATGACTGAGGGCTTTTATGTTAGTCACATTTTGGACTTCTGCCTTGCAATTCTAAACTTGGAGCTGGTAGGTGTCTTTTAAATCAGTCTTATTTCTCTTGGTTACATATGTGATGAAACTAGGGCTCCACCTCAGAATTTTGGGAAGCCTTTCAAAACTTCACCTAGAAATACAGTTCAGTTATTCAGGTCAAACTTGGATATGCTTAGTTTCTGCAGCATGGTTTTTGTGCTGCAGCATTTCATGGAAACAAAAGATACATGGGAATCAAACTTGATTTTTTTTCTTGGAATAGAAGTAAAATGCTGTTGTGGGTTGAATTGTGCCTCAAAGATATTGTTCAGGTTCTAACCCCAATACCTGTGAATGTGACCTTATTTGGATATAGGGTCTTTGCAGACGTAATCAAGTTAGGATGGTCATACTGGATTTGGGTGAGCCTTAAGCCACTGCCTAGTGTCCTTATATGAAGAGGGAAATTTGACTTCTGGGTACATATCCAAAGGAAATAAAATCATTATCTTGAAGAGATATTTTCACCTCCATGTTCATTGTAGCATTATTTACAGTAATCAAGACATGGAAACAACCTAAGTGTCACTGGATGAATGGATAAAGAAAGAATAAATATACAATGGAATATTATTCAACCATAAAAAAGAAAGAGATCTTGCAATTTGGAACAACATGGATGGACCCTGAGGGCATTATACTAACGGAAAAAAGAGAAAGACAAATTCAGTATGATCTCATATGTGAAATCTATAAAATACAACTCAGAGTTGATTGGTGGTCCCTAAGGGTGGGGGGTGGGGTGGGGAATGGGTGAAGGTGGTCAAATGGTACAAATCCAGTTACAAGTTCATGATAACTACAGTTAACAATACCGTACTATTAGAAAGTAGCTAAGATCTTAAAAGTTCTCACCACACATACACTCATATACACACATAAGATAACTATATGAGGTGACAGATGTGTTCACTAACCTTATTTTAATTATTTCTCGATATATAGGAGTATCAAATCATTGCATTTTATACCCTTAAACAATGTTATATGTCAATTATATCTCAATAAGCCTGGAGAAAAGAATGGAAAAAGGGGGGAGGTGTTTAGACAGGAGACAGAGACTGTCACAAGACAAGGAGGCATGGATGAGTGAGCGAGGCGCCTGTAAGCCCAGGAACCCAAGGATTGCTGGCTTCCACCAGACACGGGCGGAGGGGTGGGGGCAGTGGGGGGAGGGGGG